TACATTTTCCTTGTTTCTATATTATCTATTTTCTCTATTAGATCTAATAAAAATTCTTTATCTTCCTTTGTAGTTATAACATTTATATATTTTTTATCTTTGCAATTACATTCATCTGAACTTATTTCTTTATCATCATTGTAATCCTCAGATCCATTTGATATATATTCTACCTCTTCCTCATTTATCATGATTGCTAATATTTTTTCCTTTAATTCTGAATTATCTGAAAATATTTCATTTATTTTTTGCTTTACTTTGCAATTATTAGCTTTATGTCCTAATCTTCCGCATTTCCAGCAAGTAATATTTCTATTATTTTGAAATCTTTTCTTAAATTTCTTATAATAGGGTTCATTGGAAATCCTAGAAGATTGTCTTCTCCCTTTTTTAATATAATCAGATTTTTTGTAAGATTTTCTTTTTAATGCAGAATGTGATCTAATGCCTTGAATACCAAAAGCTTCACAAAATGATCCTACTTTTTGTTTTTGTGATCCATACTTCTGTTGCATTTTTAATTCTGTGCATAATGCTAATCCTTCTTTTTTAATAAATCCTAATAATTGTCCCATAGTGACTTCTTCTAATGATAATATATCTGTACCCATTTCTTTTTGTAAATTAGTCATAATTCTTTGAGAAAATAAAGTTGGTAGTCCAGTGATAAATTTTTCTTTCCAGAAAGACATATTACAATCAGGCCTTCTTAATACATGTGTTAAAAACATATTTTTGTACCATCTGTAATCTGTAAGAGTTGGACATCTTAAATTGGTTAAAAACATTTTATTAGAGTGCAATTCTTCTTTTGGATTTTCTACAAAATACATTGCAATTGTGACTATTAAGAATTCTGCTGCATCTGATTTAGTAGTGATGTTACCTTGCTCATCTTCAACTTCTATAGTGTGATTTAATATTGCAGTTTTGCTTTCTAATGTTAATGCATTAACACTTTTGGAGGATATATCTCCTGTTGAGATCCATAATATCTCCACCAATGATAGAACCAAATTGAAAAATCCTTTGGGCAATGTTCATGGAATATAAAAAACCATGAATGATCAAATGGTCTGTATAGAAAAGCTCTATACAAGGCCTGTTTGTAATCCTGATATGTGAATCCTTCTGGAATCCTCCGTACTGAAAAATTCTTTTTTGAATAAATAGAGGCCCATTCTCCTGGGGAGCAAACCTTTTTAATTATACATTTGCAATGGGCTATTTCCTTTGGATTTGAAGGATTGAGTTTTGCAATAATTTCAACTGATCCAGTATCAACTAGAATCAGTTCATAATAAGATTGATTTTTGAGAGAGTCATCAGGACACCAATAGCATCCTTCTAGGAAAATCCTCTGAGTAAGTGTTTTAAGTGTGGCATAGGTAGGTACTTCTTTGAATTTGGTTAGAGTAATATGTTGAATCAAGGGTTTTATAATGTAAGGAGATGTTTCTTTTGCAATTGGGGTTTGTGGTGTTTTTGAAGAGTTGGATGGATTTTGTGCTGCTTGAACATAAGATAAAGTTGGGAAATCTTGAAATAAACTATATCTATTTGAAGTAGGGACCTTACTTTGAGACATTTCATAATCCTTTGGAGTGCGAGCCATATCTGCAAAATTAAAGTCAAGAAATAATTTTGTTGAGTTTCTCTCAAAGCTGTTGAATTTATTGGTCATAATATTGAAGCTCTTCCTGAGGATGACCGGCTTTTTTGAGGACATCTTTGAAAATAATATTGGAATTAATTTGTTTTTTGAGAAGAAAGGCTTTTTCTTTAGGAGTCTGAACAGACCCAAAACTAGGTCTAATATAAACTGGGGAATGATTTTGAATTTGATGATGAGGAATAGGCTGAATTTCTCCTTGTGGATTTTTAATATAATAAGTATGATGTCTATTGGAAATATTTTTATCTTTTCTTTGAAGAATAGGGTCGTCCCTTTCTCTTCGTAATCTTCGAATGTATTGTTTGTGTGACTCACGATCCATTCCCTTGAAGAAATTCGCGAGTAAGAAAATCTGGTAATGAATTATTTTCACCTTTAATATATTCTATTTCAAAATAAAAAACAGATAAAATAGCTTGCCATCTAGCAAATATTTGTTTTGAAACAAGATTTTTAACATCTTTTTGTAAAACTTCTTTTGCTGATTTGCAATCAACTCTTAATAAAAAAGTTTTATTTATCAAATCATCTTGAAATTTAGAAATACATAAAACAATGGCTAATTTTTTTTTTAATAGTAGAGTATTTTTGCTGTGTGATATTCCATGCTCCTGAATGGAATCGTACTAATTGTTCCTGGGAATTTTCTGCTTTTTGTTTGAGTATGCCACCATATCCCTTTTCGGAGGCATCTGTTTCTACTATCATTTTAGCATTAGGGTTTGGAATACCTAAACAAGGTAAATCTATAATCTTAGCTTTTAAATATCTTATTTTTTGAGTATGTTCTTCTGTCCAGGGAGAGGGGTCCTTTCTTAATCTCTGAAATAATATTCTACATTCTGTTTTAAGATGTGGAAAGAAATCTGCTACATAATTTAAACATCCTAAAAATCTTTGTAATTGATTTTTATCTTTAATTTCATCTGGAAATTTACTTGTAAATTCTAGAGCTCTTGGAATGGGTTTAATAGTTCCTTTGGTTATATAATGTCCTAAAAATCTTATTTCTGTTTGAAATAATTTCATTTTTGGTGCTGATAATACTAATTCATTTTTCTTTACTATATTTAGAAATATTTTAATATGTTTAAAACGCTGTTCTATTGAATTTGAATATATTAAAACATCATCAATATAAACTATGATAAATTCACTGTGATTATTAAATATGTCATTCGTTATATTTTGAAATTCTGATGGTGTATTTTTTAATCCAAAGGGCATAACTACCATTCATAATGTCCAAATGGTGTAGTAAAAGCAATTTTATATCTATCTTTCTCTGCTAATAGTTTAAAATATACTTTATATATTATAGCAAAATTTTTACAATTTTTATGAAATTCGTTTCCTTGTAAGTGAATATCTAAGACTAATGAATCCATTATTAATGGGTCTGTCATGTCTAATGAATAGTTAGTTTTGAGCTTACGTGTAATTAAAGTTATTGAATGTTCTTGAATTTAGATGGGCGTGGGGCGTGGAAGCGAATATGAATGAAGGCTTTTGATTTTATTGGAAACTAGGAGAGAGTTTTTACAATAGAGAAGGCTCAGATCACATAAATTGATCGATGCCTGTCTTTTGAAATTCTACATCTATTTATACATGAATTTAAATGCTCATTTCATTGTCATTCCATTTGAATCTTATCTTCTTATCTTCGTAATCTTGAAATCTTTATCTGATTGGATGGAGCTACCTGTAGCTTTTGAAATGTTGCCAACAATCCTTTTTGCTCTGATACCAGAACCAGCCCAGGCATGACAATGAAATAATATGGAAATAAATAATTGAAATTAGGCTTGTTGAAAGATATTGAAGAGAGAGAGTTTTGAGCTTACTTGTAATTAAAGTTCTTGAATGTTCTTGAATTTAGATGGGCGTGGGGCGTGGAAGCCAATATGAATGAAGGCTTTTGATTTTATTGGAAACTAGGAGAGAGTTTTTACAATAGAGAAGGCTCATATCACATAAATTGATCGATGCCTGTCTTTTGAAATTCTACATCTATTTATCCTTTTCCAATTTGGTTCTGTCATTGGTGGAGATATTATGGACCTCAACAGGAGATATATCCTCCAAAAATGTTAATGGGATTTCAGACTTATTAAAAAAAGATTCACGGAGATGAATATACTCGTTCAATATTATTTCACACATAATTCAAAGTACCTTGGATATTTTGCTGGAGTTTCAAAATTATGCAAGATTTAGAAGCACCATTACCAATGTCTTTGGTTCGAGAATTCAAAGTTAAATGGTGGCATGAATTCAAACAAGAAATATGCTCCCAAGAGACAGTATTCAAATTTCTTCAAACAGGCGAAAAACTCAAATGGATCATACAGCAATTAGTGACAGTTCAAACAAAAGAAAAAAGTCCGCTTCAAAAGGCCGCTGCCTCTTCAAGTATTCAAAGGCCAAACACCTCTTCAAAAGGAAAAGAGACAGAAGCAGCAAATCCGGCTCAAGATTTTCTTCTTTCAAAAATGATGACAAATCCGGATATGCTTCAAGAATATATGAATTATTTGATGGAACAAACGAAAGAAGATAAAGGAATTTCAAATCAAGAATCCACAACAGCTGGATCTACTTCGGCAGAGGAATCTTCGTCATCACCCACGCAAACAACTGACCCTTTTGGTGGGCCATGCGCACAAGATCCGTATGACTACTGTGAGGACTCGCAAAATTTACTTATTTAATCTCCTATTTCTAGTTTATTTAATTATTTATTTGGCCTTTTACTCTAAATATTATTTCTAAACACTTGAGACCTAATTACATGGAAATATAGTTTCATTATATTTTTAAAGTGACTTGTTTCAAAAATTAATTTCCGGGAGCTTGTTTAGTGAAAATAGTGAATACGTCTTTGGAAATCTTGACCGATTGAGAGTACAATAAGTTTGGAATATTGGAGATTTATGTAATGGACCTAAATTAGGTATTTTAATGTTTAAATACTCAAGTGATAGTTATTAGTACTATCGTTATAAGAATTTCTCGGAAGTTTCGCGTTATCGCACTTAAATTGGAGGTAGGCATTTTTACGCGCGCGATTTAATTGAGGAACTTTATACCCTTAGTTAGGGGTAAGTAAAAGTGAATAATATTAATATGAATACAAGTGTATTAGAGGTTTAGTGCACTAGTGAAACAAATGCAAGAGGAATCGAGCACAAAACGCAGGAGAGTTGACTTTTGGAGTATTTTGGGCCACACATTCTTAAGCTTCTCATGGGTGCATCACACTAGATCAAAACCCTTCAATTCATCATCTAAAGTGCCGTGCAACTCCTTCTTTTTCTGCTCCAAGAACAGCCGGCCAAGGAAACAAAAGAAACAACTCAAAGCTCTTCAAGTTCCTCTTCATTTCTTCAACAAAACACCACCAAACTCCACCAAAATTGAACCACACCTAGCTAATCACTTGGTGATCATCTTAAGCTAGAAAAGGGGCTTCATTTCCACGGTTTTCTTGAGCTTCAAAGTGACCAAAAATTATGATTTAGTCATCAAGAGAGGTAATGAACGATCAACCTCTTAATTCTTGATTTATGGAAGTTAGATTACACTCATGAGTTCTTGGATTCTCATGTGTAGCTTTAATTGTTGTAAAATTGGTGAGTGGGCTCTATGAACTCCCACTTTGATAGAAAAACTGATTTGATGATTGATGATGAAATTAATGGTGGTTTAGTGCTTAAATTAGTGGATTAATGTTGTATTGTTGGTAGAAAATCATAGGAGGTGCTTGGAGCAAAAGTGACCGTTTTACCCCTGCCTTGTCCTGCCATTTTTGTACAAAATTTTGAGGTTCTAATGACTTGATTATGTTTTTTACATGTTATTGTGAGTGTGTACAAAATTTCATTGAAAAATAACATGATTTGGTTGGTCAAATGAGTTGATTTCCAAAGTTAGCAAAACTGGGAAATGAATCCCGTATTGCCCAGGCAGTCATTTTGTTTCATTCATAACTCTGTACTCCGATGTCAAAATTGAGTGCCGTTGGTGGCATTTGAAACTAGACATTCCCAGCTTTCCATTGGTACCAAATGCACGTTCTGGTTCCACTTGAGTGAGGTACACCATTCGTTTGAAAATCACTACCCTGTTTCGTTGCTCTCCAGGAGATAGGACAGAAATTACTTCTTGATGCTCAAAAATGAGTTGCTTGTGAATAGATTTTGAAAATGGTTTCTTCTACGAAATTCTAGATTTCTAAAATATCTTTTCAACGCCACTAACCATGCTCAATTCCGAGTTGGATTGAGTGAGTTGTGTCCATATTTCGAAACTGATGCAGTGAGTAAAAATCCTCTTTTTGGCTAGTAAAGGCCTAACCCTTGGTTGGGACTTGTTGTTTTGAAATTCTTGGTATTAATCACCTACCAAATGTATCTTGGATTCTTATTAGACCTGGTTATCACAAATGAGACATGTTTTAGGCATTTTATTGGCCAAAGGTTTTAGAAAAGAAAATTTGAAGTACAAGGCAGATTTGCCTTGAAAATTCTTGAAACTTTGATGGTTTTGTTAACCAACTTGCCGAATGAATTTTCCTATGAAATTTGACAAGGGAATAGCTTTTATATGGTAGTGTAATACTGCTAATTTTGGTGCCATTCTGAGTCTATTTCATTGTCCAACTGAAGTCCCAAAGTTCATGTTTAAATCTAGAAATTCTTGATCGAGGAGGAATTTTTAACCAACTTTGAGCTGCTATATCTTGGCGTTCAAAACTTTGATTCTTGTTCCGTTTGTTTCGTTTTAAACTTTGATTGTAACTCTAATTGAGTTCTAAATTTCGGAGGCTAGTTCGTATTGTGTGAATTTTGCCGGATTTTCAAAGTTGGTCAAAAATCAACCCCGAAACTGTCTTAATGGTCCCAAGCAGCAACTTTGAGTCAATTTTTGAATACCTTCCGTTTGGAATCATGGAAAAGTATCTTCTAGGAACTTTTAGTGATTTTGAAGAAGTTTCCAACGGTATCAAGCTTTCTAATTATGGACCTACATAGTGCAAGATACGATTTTTCTAAAATTGACACCCAAAGCTGAAATTGTCAATTTCTTAGAAAATGAGATTTTGAAAACTTGCCTTCTTTTCTCGATACCGATTGAACATTTTGAACTTGATTTCATGGAAAATGTTAGTCTCTCTCTTTAGACTTTAAAACTTTACTCTTGAGCCCCGATTATTAATAATTAAGGGCCAATTCATGAATTTTCCTTAGATTGTACAACCTTCTTTGATAAGTAGGGGTTCTAAGTGATTGTGTATAATAGTTAATGGTTATTTGCTCAGGCGCTCAAGAGGACCTTCAAGAGGAACTCGAAGTGGACACCTAGACACTTGTTTGAGTATTTACTCTCTTGTTGCAATAGGTGAGTGTTCCATATAGGAATATGTAATTGGAATAAGTCTATGACATGCTTAACACATGGTCATTAAGTGTTAAGTGCTATATGTTAAGTATTTACCATACTCATGCATATTTGAATAAGGTATACTTGAATTACTCGACATGAAATACTTGAAATATTTATACTTGAATTACTCGACATGAAATACCTGAAGTATGTATATTTGAACTATTCGATATGAAACACTTGAAGAGCATATTTATGTGATTACTTGAAATACTAGATATGAAATGCTTGGAGAGCATATTTACATGATGTGTTTAAATGATTAATTATGCTATGGCAGCATAAGTCAGTTAGAGTGAATCTCCTCGACTCTTACGTGGTAAAAGTGGAAAACGGTCAATGGCGGCCTATTAAAATGACATATGTCTACCAATTAACCGTAATTACTACCGTTTACCGTTTGCCGTTTATCATTTACCGTTAACCGTGTTTACTTAACGTTTTCTAATCTATTTGGTTACTTGCTTACTTGAATATCTGCTTACGTGATCACCAACTTACTTGATTACTTGACCATCTGATTACTTGATTATCATAAATTATATGCTCATATGAAGTGGGCCACTGTTTTAAGGCGAGTATGTACTTTATCTCACTCGACCTTCAAACATGATAAATTTTTACCGTACGTCGATTACTTGATTACTTGTGCATGTTGTAAGCTCTAAGCTGAACTTGGACCTTACCCTTGGTTACTGACCTACTCGAGCCAGGACTGGGCTCGGTCGGGTAGGTTGGAACCCTGGGCTACCGTTTCGATATACTCGAGTATTACCACTGGAGGGATAAGGTGATGGTCAGTCAAACTGAGGGGATCCGGAAGTCATAAGGTGCAGATGACCGACAATGTTCCACTGGAACACCGTATCCTACCGTATATGTTTACCTTGTATCATGATAATTGTTTCATGACAAAATGTCAACATGAAATTCTGAGCCATGCCTGTGATAGGCTCCCTACCTGTTACCTGTCCAATGTACTCATATCATGATACCTGTTTCATGTTAATGCTCCATACCTGTAACATGCTTAATTACTCGCACTTGTAATAAGCTCCAATCACACGTGAACTATACATGCCAATGTCTTGAACCATGATAACTGTCTCATGATAAATGTCTCATACCATGATACATGTCTCAAATTACCGTACAATGATTATCACCCCATGATAACATGCCATTGTGTAACCTTGAACCATGCATATGATATGCCCAACCTACTGGATTTATTTGAACTGTTAGAGTGTCTTGGAACCTCATTGGGTTGTGTAGCTCATCCCACGTTGTGGTTTTCTTTACAGGATTCGAGACCAATGGTGCTCGTGAGTAGTACTAGATTGTTTTCTTTTGAAAATTTTAAGTTATATTATAACGGATGGCTATTGTACCCTTTTCCGTTGGGTTGTATTTAAGTTTGAAAGTTACATAATTGTAAAGTGTGAGATATTTGAAGTACTTTAATTATGTATTGAAACTATTTAAAGTATTTCGAGTTTTTGAATGATGGATTGTAGTAAGTCCTGGCGAGAGTTGGGCAGGCGTCCCACGGATACCCCTTTGGTTCACCTTAGAGAGAAGTGGGGGCGTCACAACTACTAAAAGCAAAAAGGAATGTTGGCAACATTTCAAAAGCTACAGGTAGCTCCATCCAATCAGATAAAGATTTCAAGATTACGAAGATAAGAAGATAAGATTCAAATGAAATGACAATGAAACGAGCATTTAAATTCATGTATAAATAGATGTAGAATTTCAAAAGACAGGCATCGATCAATTTATGTGATCTGAGCCTTCTCTATTATAAAAACTCTCTCCTCATATTCGCTTCCACGCCCCACTCCCATCTAAATTCAAGAACATTCAAAGAACTTTAATTACGAGTAAGCTCAAAACTCTCTCTCTTCAATTTCTTTTAACAAGCCTAATTTCAATTATTTATTTCCATATTATTTCATTGTCATGCCTGGGTTGGTTCTTGTATCAAAGCCTGGTCAGAAATTGTTTTAATTAAAGTTACTATTTATGCTATATTTTGACTGTTTTCTATGTTGTGTTGGTAAGCCATTGAGACTTAGTGAGACCGTTGGTAAGCCTTGAGAGTTGGTGTTCCCGGCATAAGACTCTGGTGTTCCCATATGATAGATGAATAGAATTCCATTTTTTACTCAAATATATCCATTCAATGTAAGTAGTACAGGATTAAGTATTAATATAATGGGAAAAGAAATAGTATTTCCATTTATAAGTCCTATAAAACAAAAAGAAATAAGAACATTACAAACATCCTCTATATATCAAACTATCAATGCTATTCAATGCAAAAAGAAATACATATTTGAGTTAAAAAATTTACAAAAATATATAAGGATCGAAGAACAATTACAAAATCCTAAAGTTAAACAAGAAATTAATAAAATAGAAGAATTAATTAAAAAAGAAGTATGTGCAGACATTCCAAATGCTTTTTGGGAAAGGAAAAAACATATAGTAGAATTACCATATGAAAAGGGATATTCAGATAAGGATATTCCTACTAAAGCTAGACCTATTCAAATGAATAAAGAATATTTGAAATTTTGTAAAAAGGAAATACAAACTTTATTAGAAAAGAAATTAATAACTCATTCAAAATCACCTTGGAGTTGTGCAGCTTTTTATGTAATGAATCAAGCTGAAAAAGAAAGAGAAGTTCCAAAACTAGTTATTAACTATACACCATTAAATAAAATGTTATAATAGATTAGATATCCAATTCCAAATAAGAGAGATTTATTAAATAAATAGATTATTTAATGCAAAAATATTTTCAAAATTTGATTTAAAATCAGGATATTGGCAAATTATTATAGCAGAGAAAAATTTTTAATATTTAATATTTTTATATTTTATCATATAACCCTCTTATGGTTTAATATTTTACCATATAACCCCCTTATGATTTTTAAAATATACATATAACCCACTTGGTTAATAAATAATTTTCAACTTTACATAAGGGTGTTTTTGACATTTTAGATGACTCCGTTAAAAATGATTATTCCCGTCACTTTGATACTTTAATCCAAACCATGAAGGGGGTTATGTATAGCTTTTGAAATCATAGGGGAGTTATGTAAAAAAAAAAAAAAAGGCTAAATCACAGGGGGCTAAAGTGGAATTTGCCCTAAATTTTATCTGCAATGAACAAAAATTCAAAGGAGGTGTCAGACCACCCCTTTGATCTAGTCAGATCCTTATACCTACTAACCCCTTATATGTAGTCTCTTTAGACTCCCTTCCTGTAGATTAGGATAGATTATGTTATAGAAATATTATCATTCTCGTAAAGAAAAAAGCTAAAGAATGTTGTTGATTGTATAAATGACGTGCAAAAAGAGGCAATTGTAAAGTTTGAATTGGCCCATGTTGCATATGCAGGCTGTGGAGATCGATGACAAACTTTTTGCAGTAGCTTGGTAAGAACTTTGATCTGGGGTGGAAGGAGATTGAACGTGCATGGTGCATGGTTATTCCAGTGAGGTGAAGGAGAGCGATGTCGAAAACATACTTGGATTAAGCACCCGTGGACTTGATATTGAAAATGAAATGTATCGAGGAGTAATAGACATGATGTTAGAGGAAGAATTGGGCGACAGAAATGGAGTAGAGTTGCTTGAGGACAACCTATTCTTGCCCAGATTGAAATTGAAAGTGAAATTTGTGTGGTACGTGGTTGGGAAAACTGTTATCCCCAACGCCTACAAAAATTATGATATTATTAGGCTAAAATCAAGGAGGTATGCCATCTTTTATCTTATTTCTGCCGCTAGTTGTATGGCATTTAATATAGAATTTTTCTTCATTTATATAATCTGAAAAAGCCATATAAAACTATTATTTTATTATAATATATAACCACGGTTGAAAAAATGAACTCATGGTTCAGCTGCTGGCCCATTGGACCAATGATCTTGTCGAGTTGATGTCTGGGCAGGGTTTTACATGTATTTTGTGAGTTTAACAAAATTTTACCATGTCTATTGTTATTCTTTATATAATAAAAAAATAGTGATTACTATTGTATAAGTAAAATTTTAAGCAGCGACAAAAACAATCACAAAACTATTTTAGATTCATTTATTTAATTACTGGATTTTTGTTTAACCAATGTAGTAACTCAGCTAGCTAATAAAAAAGTATACTTTTGCTCGCTCAACCAATAAAACTTGTATTTTTATCCCCCCAAGTAATGAAAACATATACTTTTCGATTAAAAGAATGTCTGTTTTAATAAGTTGAATGACTAATTTGGCTAAATAAAACCAAAATAGAGAATAATATTGAATCTCAATTTATGCCATTTTCTCTAAATTTACACTTCAAATAAAATTAAACAAGAAATTAACAGAATTTTTTTGAGTAAAAACTGTACAAAAATTGTTTGGATATAGATTATTTGCTAAAATTATTTATTTTTATCATCAACATATCTTTTAACCACCTCTTTATTTTATATACATCATATAAAAAAAAGTGTTACAGTATTTTTTAAAAAATTATCGCAAATAATCTAATTATCCAAAAGGGGGATTTGGTGAACCAAAAAAGTTTGTTCAAACTAAAGGGGAAAAAGAATAAAAAAATGTGGCGTGGGCTGAATTAGCCAAAAAATTTTGTTCAAAATGACAACAGAAGAAAACCAAAGCAGTGCGGCTCTGTCCTTTTACTCTCCCGGTCTTTCCCGCTCACCTTGCCTCTCCGGTTACTGAACGGGAAATTTTTTGCTGCAATTCTTTGCAATAAAAGGTAGATTTTCTCATTTCTCTTCCTTTTTCTCCCTAATGTTTCCCCAAATCTTCATGCCCAATTTCCCATTTTTTTGGCTGAAAATTTCTGGACGATTTTTTTTGGCAGTTGTTCGAGTTATGGGTGCAATTATTTCTTTCTTTTTGGGGTTTTTTTTGAGTTGTGTGTGCAATTAAGTCCTGTACCCCAATTCAGATAATCAAATTTCTCGATTTTCTCTGTGAATTTTCTGTAATTAGTCGGTTGAGTATGTGGATTTATTTGTAGCAAACAACGTGTGGAATTTGATACTTCTTTATATACCGAGCTTGCAATTCAATTACTGCTGTTTATATGCAAATTACATGTGTACTTGTTTTTGGTTTTGCATTGACTTTTAGGAAACAAAAGCATAGCCCATCACAGGATAAAAAGGATTATATTTAGTACAGATCGAGTGTGGAAAAAGGGGTTAAAAACAGATTTAAGATTGGGTGCTAAGAATAGGAATTTTTTATTTTGCTGCTGTGATGTTGTCACGGTTTACGTCTACTGATGACCCTGAAATTGTTGGTTAAGGTAATAGTTGATGGCTTTTTCATGTTCTGTGGCAAGAGCTGGTTGTCAGTGATGATAATGTTTCTTGTAGTGATATAGTCACTATACTCAAGGTTTCCCATTCCCCAAGAATTCTGTCTTGAAATTGACAAGGAACAGAGAGGATTCCTTTGGGTTTCTGTAGAAGACAAGAACAAGCTCCATCTTGTAAGCTGGAGTAATGTCACTCAGCCAAAGCACTGTGAAGGACTTGGCCTCAAACAATCAAGTCTCCTCAACAAAGTGGCAAACCTTCTTGAGATAAAAATACTTTAGAAACAGATGTCTTACTCTTTCCATTGTCAGGGCTCTACAAACAAAACTTTTAGAAGAGGATCTCCAAATTTTCAATTGATGGAGTAGATGGAGAGTCAAAAATGGCCTCACTATTAGAATTTGGTTTGATAAATGGCTTCCTTCGGGTACTCTGAGAAGTCTCATATAGGAGCCTCTAAATAAAGGAGAAGAAAACCTCCTAGTTGCTGATTTGTTTGGGGCTAATAACTCTTGGTGCTTGGACAAGCTTTCCTTCTCTCTCCCTCAACTTCTTTGCAGAATTCAACTTGGCCATATTATTTGTTGTACATTTGCTGTTCAACTTGTGGTTTTGCTCATTCCCTTTATCTAGAGATGTTAGTCTTGTTTTTGTTTTTCAGTTTTTGGTTATTTGTCAATCTTATTGATAGGTTGCAAGATTTGCTTTTCTTTAGTTTATCAACTCAAGACTGGAAGGAAAATAAACTAATTAGTTTTCTTAGGCAATTTGTAGTTTGCCTTTTGTTGAAATTTATTCTGGTTGGTAATGCCAACCTGGTTAGTTACCAGTGCCACTGGTAATGAAGCTATTTTTTAAGCTTGTCTTTGTGATGATGATGATCCTTAAAGAACATCAATCAAGCCATCAATCAAGCAAATTTCACAACTTTCTGGTTGTTTATTAGGGGATGTAGTTTGATATTGCCAACTTCAATGACATTTCTTCATGAAGTTTTCATGTTAGACTGGATATATATTTTGTCAATGTAGTCAACTTTACTTTTTTATTCCATTTGATAAAACATAGTTTGAACTCTGAAGATACTGTTTTGTTACAAATTAAAACTGGTATAATTGATGTCCTTTTGCTCATGTCTTTACATATATCTTGCTTGTCCTTTTTCTTTTGCTAGAGTACGGTTCTTTCATTAAATTTTTGTTGATTTTGTTCTCACGGGATTGGCCTGAGTTATCAAGTTTAGTGAAAGTTAGTTTGATTTGGTTGGATTGAAAATAATAAAAAAAATTGAACTACCACGCTATTGCACTTGTGGACCTTACTAGTATTATTGTGCGTAGATTATGTACAATCTGAGTCTCTAATGCTTAATCTCAATTAACTTTTTGTTATTCAATTAATCTTAGATAACTTTTTTTGGGGTGTTCTTCCCTCTCTTTTTTTAGTTTATAAGATTTTATGTTTAATTTTTGTGATTCTAAGAGTTGCTGGTACAAAAATTAAATGGTATATGCTGTGTTAAGAAGATTCTAAGTATGAGATAATGGCTTGTTTATCTTAACATGGACAAGAAAGCATATACAATTCTCCAATCCTTATCGTTTTGAGTCCTTTATCTCTTGCGATTCTGCAGCCATTCCTACATTTTACAATTATATAGATTTCTGGCCCAACATACTTTAGTGTTCAGGAATTCCTGTTGAATTTATTCATGAGCAATACATTTTTGGTGTACTTAAAAAATGTAAGGCTGCATTACATGGTGATATATTATTTTCAAACTAATGACATTGCCATTGCTGTCCAATTAGTTAGCAAAACAAAAAATGACACTGTCATTTAGTAACTAGGCTGAAATTGTGGCTTCTCTTCATTGCTTAAAGATTTTGGTGCATCTTTATGTAACTTTTTTATATTTAATACCCCAATTTGAATAATTGGACATTTCTGGACAAGCCTGAAAATCACACTACGCAAATCGTGGTGTTCTCCTCCTAGTAACCAACAAGCTAAGAAAAAAAATAACTGAATAAATGCTTGAAAGCCCAATCTTGGGGACTAGCGATTTACTATGTACCTTTTTTTTACCTCCCCCCTCCTAGTTTTGGTTTTGTTATTTAATTTATTAAAAAAATAAAAATATTATTAATTTTTTTTTCTTATCCAAAATTATACAGCATTTTGGCAGGTGTGAATTATTATTGATTGTGTTGATGAATACAAGCGGCAGTGCTGCTGGTATGGCCACCTCAAGTTCAGGTGGAATTAGAATAGGAGGCGGAGGAATAGTAGCTGGTGGTGGCAGCTCTGACGGAGGAGGAGGAAAGAGGTCTTGGCCCTCAACAACATCGGTCTCCGCCTCTGGGAAGAGAATACAGCGGGAAATGGCGGAGCTGAATATGGACCCACCTCCTGACTGCTCCGCTGGCCCAAAAGGCGACAATCTCTACCACTGGGTTGCTACTCTCATTGGCCCCTCTGGTTTGCTTCCATTTCTTCACATTTTTTGCCTCTCGTTCTTTTTACATTCTACTCATTTACATTCAAATTTACAGCATGATTTTGGTTTTTCTATGGATTTTGGTGCGATTAAGTATTTTGAGCTTGTACAAGATTTCATCTTTTTGTGGGTTTTCTAATGTTTTGGTCAATGCTTGAGGGTTCTATGAACTTCTTCAAGACGATTGGGAACTTTACTTGAACTGATGAAATTGTGCTCAAAACACAATTACTGCCCTACTACAATGACATTAAATATCCATGAATTTTTCTATTGCAAGGGCTTATTTTGGAAAATGTCACTGAACTATAGGGGTACTAGAATTTACTGTTAAGCATGAGGAATTTAACAAGCCAACTTGTAGTTCAATAAGGTGTGGAAAGAGACTTTTTTTCCTGAAATTGAATGGACTTAAGTACACTGCCTATTTGTGTTTTATAGAATTTCTACATTGCTTATCAAGCTTTTCATTTCTTATGTATGTAATCCCTGATATTAGGACACCATGAAAATATGGCACAAAGACTTGATGGAGTCAGTAAAGTTGGATAAGTTGCAATGATTGAGTTTACATGGGGCTCGTAGTTTCCATGTATCCTTTTGTTGCATGCCCAAATTGATTAAGATACGAAAAAACTGCATAACTGAGGAGCTATAGGACTTTATGCCTTCCTTTGTGCTTTGTTTTGCACAATTTCAATCCTCTCCTTTGTGCTAAGTGGCAAAGTTCTGAATTATGCTAAGAGATGATTGGGTGGCTTTCAATTAACTCTATGAGCTCTAACTACTGGGGCGAACTAAGAGAAGAAAAAGAAAATGTTAGGGGACAATGTGTTTGAATGTAAAGATTGGAGGTGCAAAGCTGCAAATTTTGAAAGTTATGAGGGTGCCAAATGAATTTACTCAACCTTGCAATGTCTATTTCCAAGTGGGAAAATTAAGCCATGGTGTTTGAGCAGATAATACTTTAACTGAATATACTTCTTTCTTCTGTATTGAATATCCTTTCTTCTGTAGGTACACCATATCATGGTGGGATATTCTTTCTTGATATAACTTTTCCTAGTGATTATCCATTCAAACCACCAAAGGTATGCTGATATCTACCAGAAATACTGAAGATCACTAATTCCTTTTTTTTTTTTTTTATTTAATTTCATTTTCACTATAAGCTAGAATTTTTTCTACATGGAAAAGATCTTCAAGATTGAATATGCGATATGATAGATTCTTTTCTTAAATCTGGGTTATATGCCTAACTACATCACTTGTTTTCGGGAGTTGAACATTTGCAGTACATCAAAAATTCCTCAACAAAAAGATTATTAAGTTGACAAGGATATTTGCAAGTGTTTCTGCATATGATAGCTGAGTTGAATGTCTTGAAAATCATCTGATTTACCAAGCAACCATTTTAGATCTTGCATGCAATCTGCAGACCAAGAATGGAGTAAAATGCCACAATGCTTCTTTTCACCTTTATCCTTCAGATTGTTTCCATGAAATGTTGGCCCCTAGGGAATTGTAATATTGTTATGATTATGTTTCATGATGTTATCGAGCAGTAAATTTTATTTCAAAATGAGGGCAGTTTGCTCACGTTGTTTCAAAAGTTTTTGGAATACGTGTAAACCTAATCCTATCCATATTAGTTCAACTGGCTCAGATTCGTGAACTACGATTCAAATGCTGCGAAGTGTTACCCTTCTACGTTCCACATGTGCCATTATTTTCAACTAAAATTTCCTGGTGCAAGTGATCACTGTGTGAACTGCAATAACTGCTATTTGACATTTCTATTATGCTTATTGCTAACATCAGGATTGCAGGTAGTGTCCAAAACTCGCATCTACCACTGCAACATTGATTCTTCTGGCAATGTTAGTTTGGACATCCTGAAAGATAATTGGAGTCCAGCTCTGACAATCTCAAAGGTTCTTTGCGCGCTTATATCTATATTCACTAATCCTGACACCTGTATGTAAATCCCTCCACTTTGCCCTAGCTTATTCGCAAGGTCCAATGTATACGCTTCATCTTAAAAATAATATTGTGTTGAAATATTATATGTTGGTGGTTGCAGATAAACCCCTTGTTCCTGGTATTGCCCACTTGTACTTGACAGACAAATCCAAGCATGATGAGCTAGCAGCGGAGTGGACAATGAGATTCGCAAGGTGAAATGTGGTCTTTAAGCCCATAATATTTGGTATTAGGGAATACATATTACTTTCTGCAGTCGAGAAAATGGAGCTCAAGTTTCGTCTTTAGAAGCTGTCTTCTTGCTCACATAGTTATCTGGTTCTGGATTTTTGTTTATTTAACTAGGTTTGACATTAGTTCTAATTGGGTGGAAACAGTCCACAGCGCTTATGTAGTAATAACTAGTTCAGCAAGTTCTTGGTTCTTCCATTATTACTTTGTTGATGAGTATGGCTAACAAGTAGTATTGATGTGTATGTATGTAATAGCATGTAGTTGTGATCTTCCTCTTCAATGCTTGATTAAAGCATAATCTTGTCGCCGATTTGCTACACGTTATTTTTATCAGTGGGGTGTATAATTCTGAAAAAGTCGAAGTTCTTGGCAATGACAACTAATTCTGGGTTTTGCTTGATGGTTCTCATTGGAAGTCCTGGCTACTGAAAATAGGCCCTCCAAATTGGATAGGGTCACTTTCTGTATTTTAAACAAAACTTGTACTGGATACAACCATCGCACATGCTTCTGATTTACCGTTCTTGTGCCATACTATTAACGCTTCCCCTATTATTTTTTGCAATCTTTTGCAATGCTAAGCAGCAAAATCATTTCTACTTGGACGAAGTTTGCTCTAGGATCAACAAATTTCAGGGAAGAGGTGGAACTGAGGGCACTAACGGAAGTAGACATGAGCCTAGATGCTGCTGGGGAAAATTTTGTAATCGGCTTGGACTCAGTGGAGGAGATGGAGGCTTGTCCTTTAGTATGACTGGAGGTTTTGCTCGGGTATGGAGTCTGATCAGGGAAGGCTGAATGGCCTAAGCTCTTAAGCTGCTGCCATTGTCTTATTTCCTTTAACTGATGCCGAATAATCTGCTAGAAGAGTAGAGGTGCTGTAAATAAAAAGTTCAAAAGAAATCTAAGGGAAACGCTCAGAACTCCTGACCCCTATGGCCCTATATTCTAATTTTGATTAAGACCACGGCTTGAAGCATAAAGCAGATTGGACCTTTGAGAGCATTTCATTTCTCAAATATAGCTAGTGCTGAAGCGGTTGGCTTCTCCGGTGGGATTTGGATGCTGTGGGATCGGTATCTGATTTAGCTGGAGATGCTATTCGTGAACAAGCGATAACCGCGATAGGTAGAGTGAAGGGAGGAACGGATTGGCTGAATAGAGAATTTTAAAATATTGAATCTCAATTTATGCCATTTTCTCTAAATTTACACTTCAAATAAAATTAAACAAGAAATTGACAGAATTTTTTTGAGTAAAAACTGTACAAAAATTGTTTGGATATAGATTATTTGCCAAAATTATTTATTTTTATCGTCAGCCTATTTTTCAACCTCCTCTTTATTTTACATACATCATATAAAAAAAAGTATTACAGTATTTTTTAAAAAATTATCGCAAATAATCTAATTATCCAAAAGGGGGATTTGGTGAACCAAAAAAGTTAAATTGTTCAAACTAAAGGGGAAAAAGAATAAAAAAATGTGGCGCGGGCTGAATTAGCCAAAAATTTTTGTTCAAAGCACTGCGGCTCTGTCCTTTTACTCTCCCGGTCTTTCCCGCTCACCTTGCCTCTCCGGTTACTGAACGGGAAATTTTCTGCTGCAATTCTTTGCAATAAAAGGTAGATTTTCTCATTTCTCTTCCTTTTTCTCCCTAATGTTTCCCCAAGTCTTCATGCCCAATTTCCCATTTTTTTGGCTGAAAATTTCTGGACGATTTTTTTTTGGCAATTGTTAGAGTTATGGGTGCAATTATTTCTTTCTTTTTGGGGTTTTTTTTTGGAGTTGTGTGTGCAATTAAGTCCTGTACCCCAATTCAGATCATCAATTTTCTCGATTTTCTCTGTGAATTTTCTGTAATTAGTCGGTTGAGTATGTGGATTTATTTGTAGCAAACAACGTGTGGAATTTGATACTTCTTTATATACCGAGCTTGCAATTCAATTACTGCTGTTTATATGCAAATTACATGTGTACTTGTTTTTGGTTTTGCATTGACTTTTAGGAAACAAAAGCATAGCCCATCACAGGATAAAAAGGATTATATTTAGTACAGATCGAGTGTGGAAAAAGGGGTTAAAGAACAGATTTAAGATTGGGTGCTAAGAATAGGAACTTTTTTATTTTGCTGCTGTGATGTTGTCACGGTTTACATCTACTGATGACCCTGAAATTGTTGGTTAAGGTAATAGTTGATGGCTTTTTCATGTTCTGTGGCAAAAGCTGGTTGTCAGTGATGATAATGTTTCTTGTAGTGATATAGTCACTATACTCAGTGTTCCCATTCCCCAAGAATTCTGTCTTGAAATTGACAAGGAACAGAGAAGATTCCTTTGGGTTTCTGCACAAGACAAGAAAAAGCTCCATCTTGTAAGCTGGAGTAATGTCACTCAGCCAAAGCACTGTGAAGGACTTGGCCTCAAACAATCAAGTCTCCTCAACAAAGTGGCAAACCTTCTTGAGATAAAAATACTTTAGAAACAGATGTCTTACTCTTTCCATTGTCAGGGCTCTACAAACAAAAACTTTTAGAAGAGGATCTCCAAATTTTCAATTGATGGAGTAGATGGAGAGTCAAAAATGGCCTCACTATTAGAATTTGGTTTGATAAATGGCTTCCTTCGGGTACTCTAAGAAGTCTCATATAGGAGCCTGTAAATAAAGGAGAAGAAAACCTCCTAGTTGCTGATTTGTTTGGGGCTAATAACTCTTGGTGCTTGGACAAGCTTTCCTTCTCTCTTCCTCAACTTATTTCCTTAGAAATACAAGCTATTCCCAGATAAACTCTCTCTCCCCAAACATGATCTGCTAACATGGGAAAATTCAAATGATGGTCTCTTTGCATTCAAGTCTGCTTATGAGATGGGGCAACATCTCTGCAATTCCCAGTGTCTTACCCAAGAAAATCCACCCAGTGACCAGTATATATCTTCTTCTTGGATTTGGAGTATCATTTCTCCAAACAAATGCGGTTAGCCTGCTTAGGGAGGCCACCAGATCCTACCTGCTTAAATGCGGGATTCTTCAAGATGATCTCTGTACTAGATGCATGTACTTAAAAGAAGGCATTAATCATGTCGCTAGAGCCTGTAAAGAAGCCCAGAATTTATGGAATGCTGTTGGGCTTCCCCAGAACTTTTGCTGCCTTACACCCCACTTCAGGAATGGCTCAAGAAAGTGGGTAAAAGTGCACATCTATCCTTTACAACAACATCCTCTGGGTAACTCTCTTCGGCTTTGCTTGCTGGCGTCTTTGGAATCAAAGAAACAATCTCATCTTCAGGCAATAGATTCTCCTGGAGACCTTGTTAAGTTTTGCCTTGCTGCTGCCCACAAATTCTATTTGCTTAGCCCTTTTAACTCCACCAAGTCCGTGAACATGATATTCTTGTTTGGATCCCTGTCTGCATTTCTTTCTACTTGAAGTTGAAGTTGACTCCACTATTATCCTCTCCCTTTCTCAAAAAAAACATACATTATTGGTTTTCATGATCTTGTTCCTATTTCATCTGATTGCAGGGAGCTGCTAGTTGAATTCCACCAGGTATATTTGGTGCATAATTCCAGAGAAGCCAATCGCCTTGCGGACAGCTTAGCTAGGAAAAGCAGCAGTAGTGATTGTGGGCTTATCGTTTTTAATTCAAGCCCCTCTTTGACTGTTAGATAATTTAAGGGGATTAGCACTTTCCAGGATGACTGTAAATTCTTAGCTCTGTACACGTTTATTTCAAAGCTATGCATGGCGCTTACCAAAATACAGAAAAAGAAAAAGTAAGTTGTCTTCCTGTGCCACCCCTCTTTTGCCGGAACACATCGTCATTCCTTCACCCAGTTACTGAATCTGCAGCGTCCTGCACCAGTATGTCAATCAGCTAGCCTGCTACCTATATATGTCTACATATATCAATCAAGCAGAGATTTTTACATTCCATTTAACTTTTTGTTGGATTCATCTCATCCTCCTCTGGATGCTGTTTTAATATGTATTTCGCTTTGAGTCTTTTTTTTTCGTTAATTAAGTCTGTATATCTTTTCTTGGTTTAATTGATTGCGTTTCTTAGTTGGATAACTGATAATTTCAGAGCTGAATTGGGGTTTTGATTGATTTTCACTCAGAGTATGTTACTACCAGATTTTGTTAATCAATTGAAATGGGGTTTAATTGAACTCAAGCATGAATGTTTAGTTCTATTTTTTGTCTTCCTTTTATTGTTTGAATATGTGTTAATTTCCTTTTATTTGTCTGGCAGGTTATGGAAATTGCTGAATCACTGAAATTGGATATGGAAGTTGTGAGTAATACTTCTTTGAGGAAACCTCGAATCCTACTCGCTGCAAGTGGAAGTGTGGCTGCAATAAAGTTTGCAAACCTTTGTCATTGCTTTATTGAATGGGCAGAAGTTAAAGCAGTTGCTACAAAAGCTTCTATGCATTTCATAGATAAAGCTGCACTTCCTAAGGATGTGACTCTTTACACAGATGAGGAGGAATGGTCATCATGGAATAAGCTAGGAGATGATGTGCTACACATTGAGCTCTGTAGGTGGGCTGATATTATGGTCATTGCACCTTTGTCTGCCAACACACTTGGGAAGGTAAATAGAGTTTATCAGATTGCCATTGATTTAACTGCTGGGTGAATTTTTTTCATATTTGCTTTAATGTTATTTGTGTACCTGTATGCTTAAACTTGTGAGATATCATCAAAGTTTGTGCTTAAACAAGGGTATAGATACTAGAATTATGAAATAATTGCAAAAGAGAGAAGTTTGCTTATTAACACCTTGAGGACCTGCTTGTAATTTGATTGTTTTAGATGTACGCAAATTCTAAAAATCCTTTTATTGATTAAAATTAAAGAAAAACGAAAAGGAATGATCAGAACTGAGGAAGCAATATTAATGGTACATCATTTGCAAAGCCGTATTACTTTTGGCCATATGTTTTCAAATCTATGGCTCTTCAGTTTTATTTTATTGATTGAGAAGTGTTAATAAGATCACTTTCCATCAAAGTTTTTCACCCTTTATGCTTCATAAATCTGTGATCAAGACAGAAGTTCTCTTTGAGGAATTTTTTTCATGTGTATGGGCATTTTCATAACCTACAGAACTGAGGGACTACTATTGAATCATAAGTACACTTGATTTGATACCCATACTCAGACATCTTGCAACAAATTGTGTGAAGTTAGACCGAGGAACAGTTTTACAGAATTTAATGATATGTGGTTTCATACTATCTCTCACATTCTTTGAAGTAGACTCACCCATTTCCATTAAGGTCAGACACAGTCCTGATATCTTAGCTTAATTGTAGATTGCAGGAGGATTGTGTGATAATTTGCTTACCTGCATTGTGCGAGCATGGGATTATAGTAAGCCACTTTTTGTAGCTCCAGCCATGAACACATTAATGTGGAACAACCCTTTTACAGAACGGCATCTTATGTTAATTGATGACCTGGGGATCAATCTTATTCCACCTGTAACCAAGAGGCTAGCTTGTGGAGACTATGGGAATGGTGCAATGGCTGAACCTTCGCTCATCTTCTCAACCGTAAGGCTCTTCTTAGAATCCAGGGGTCAATCAAGCAATGGCAGTCAATGAATGGCAGTCAATGAACACCATATCACAAGGTTGTGACCAAAACAATTTGATATGCAGTGCACACATGTTACCCATCCAACATGCATTATATGTGATTTTTGTACTGATCACTAATCTTGTTGTCCAGATTTTGTATTATGCTTAAATATGTCTTCTGTCATACACCATAGAAAACCAACTTAAAAATGGGTTTCTTCTTAGAGTTGATTGAAATTTTTATTGGACAAAGCTTGCATTTCCTGATTCGCTCTGTATGAGCTGCTCAGTTGGTTGATGCAAAACAAAAATAATTAGTACCAAGTGTCCGACAGTTCCTTGGAGATCTATTGAAAATTGTGTGACTAATATTCATTCCATATGGAGGCAGATAAATGTGAGACCTGCCAAAAAATAAGGGGAGATACTTAAAGAGAGTTTCAGTCAAATAAGAATTTGAACGCTAAATGTGTTGCGTATACTGCTCTTGGAACTGCATTATGTAAAAGATATTTGTAGCATGCAATTGTATTCCTCGTCTTATGTTTGAACTTCACTTTTGTTCTACAGCTCCAATAGTCTATCATCCCTGTTCCACAATGTCAATCTGTTTCATCAGGAAGGGAAGCTGCTTTCTTTTCCTGTCTGCTTCAAATCTATTTGTGTTTGACATTTTGTCAAATCTATGAATAATATTTTAGCCACATGCTTGTGAAATGGATCCAGTTTTTCCATTTAGCTTCTGCAATTATGCGTTTCTTTAAAGTACCCTTTTCTATGTATTCTTTTGTTAATGGATTAGTGTCCACTCTAGGTAAAATTAGCTCTTAGTTTGATTTGCATTTCACTTATTTTTGATGGTGTATGATCTATGTGAACCATTTTTTGCATAGTTTGTAATCCTGTAACTTCGGTATTGTTATTCTTGAGAATTGTTCCTCAACACTTTCTTCTATTTTTGCTGGGATCGGGACCCTGGAATGATGAATTCCTCTGTGTTTTCCTTCTATTGAATTGTCGAGTCTTTTCTCTGTCAATTTATCAATGTGAATCACCTGCATAATTTAAGTCGAGTAGTTTGAACCTAGTGTAAGGAAGGAGACATAAGAAAAGGATAGAATTTACAGGCAGCCTTTGCCTGTATATTCATGGATGTCTTTGTCTGTTTTTCTGAGTGATATACGTAGAGCACATTTTTTTTCTTTCACTAGATTTTGCCTTCTCTGACGCATCATAATTTTTTTAGAACTGCTGCAATATAAACAGGTTGTTGAATTCTTGAAGTTTGAACTGGGATGCTGGTAGTTGGAAATTATGCACTTAGGACTTAAATTGGTCTTTAATAATAAGCAATTTCTTTCAACCTCCTGTGCTCAATAATATGCCTCATCAGATGCGTTGAATCTTTGATTCAGTGAAAGTGTAAATCTTTTAGTATTTATCGTACTTGTAGCTACTATCAGAAGTAGGAGTTGCTGCATAACTTCTGGTTTTCGAGAAGAGTAAAGAGGTTACTGGGGATGTAACCATTTTTGGAAATCAAAACACACAAGAGGAAGGCAATTTTAGCATAACGATGCCTCTTTTCATTCGTTGAAAATTCCTCATTTTGATAAGAACTTTGGGATGCTAAACTTAGCGCGGAAAAGTTTCTTATTCTAGACATTTGAGCCTCTCATTTATTTTCTGTGCATGTTTGTATAGGCAAAGAAGAGAGCATCTTTTGAGATGGTTTTCCTCTCTTTCTCTTGGATAAGTTAATTTGTGTTAAATTACTCGTTACTAATTAGACTGACTCTGCTTGCTTGCGATTTGCAAGATAAAGATCCAGAGTTGAGTTCTTTATCAACTTCAATGACTGTCTGTTCTACATGCTAAATTACATTGATCATGCAGCTGCTACTGTCGACAATCTAGTCAATCTTTCGTCAGTGGCCAGACAATGTCTTAGATATAGTTGTTTTTGTTATTCCAAGAACCCTGTCAAATTAACTTGTTTTTGGATCTATATGGTGGCTGAAGGTATATATGGCCAACAACGATGACGAGGATAATGAAAGATGCATGGCCTGATGGGAAATGCTTTAAATCTAAGCTTGAAGATCTTTGAATCTCATGAAACGAGTAAGATTTTCTAAAAGGTAAAGGTACTTTTCAGTGAATGCTGGAGCAGTATATTCATGTTTTAAATTTTTTTTTTTTCTGGAGTCATCAGGGCTCAAGGCTTTCTTTCCTTATCTGATGCTCTTTGGTTTGTTTATAGACTCGTAGCAAATTTATCAATATGAATCAGCGAACATAAGAAAAGAAAGATCGTTGAGCAACACTTTTTGTGCATAACAAAGAAAAATGTGGGGTTATGCAGTAAATCATGTCATGTTTAGCACAAAAACAAGCTGTAATCTGTGATTTTGGGTATAACGAAGTCACCTGTCATCTTTTTTTTTTTTTGGCAGGATCAGTTATTTTGCATTAATGATGCATAAACTGGATAACTCGTTGATCAGCTGATAAACCTCAACATTATCACGAACAACAGAACAAGTCTAACAAAAAGAAGTCATGCAAATGCAGATATATTATCAAAAATTATTGGTAGGGTACTAAAACTCAGGATTATTCCACTGGTGCAAAACAAAAAAAGCAAGAAAGAACTAGAAGATATGTAGCAGGCAATCAATCTAAATTAAATCTAGTCAAAAAGACTAAGACCCAAATCTTCATCTTCTTCCTCCTCTTCAACAGGCTCTGGTTTCTTTTCTTCATTGGCAGCAGCAGCACCACCATCTCCCGGGGCAGGAGCTGGAGCAGCACTTACTGCAGCAGCAAACTTGCTGGGATCCTACAATTTGTACCATGTCCAAAGATGAATTCGATTTCAGTTATGCTTTTGATTAGATTAAGTTGACTTGTATGAGAAATTAAGTTACATACCTTGAGGTACTCCTTGACCTCATCAGCCTGAGGGAAAGAGTATTCAGTCTCGACTGCAATGGCCAGGGCATTTTTGTACCCATTTATCAACATGTGAGGTGCAGCTGACAAGGCTGGGTATGAAATTTCCAGAGAAAGAGAAGTTGCCATAGAAAGTCCCACCAAGAACTTCACAGCTAGATCATCTTCTGTCAAATCTAGCACTTCAGGGCTAAAGACTGATCCATTCTCATAAACGGCCTGGACAATAAGGCCATAAGAGAATGGCCTAACCCCAAGCTTTGAAAGCAGAGCTGACTCAGAGGAACCAACTTTATCCCCCTTCTTAATCAGCTCCACGGCAGTAATAATTTCAACAGTTCCCTTGTTAATCTTAGTGGGGATATTGAGAACCTGGACACATCCACATGTGAGAGTAAACATTTATTTGTATGCATTCAAATTTCCCTGTGGATGATCAGAACAGGGTTGCAAATTTCAATTTGACGAGTTTAGTAATGAGATGAACCCTTAAACCCTATGCATCAAATATGCCTCCATGCTTCAAGAAAGATCACTAGAATTCTGGCCAAAATCAGAGATTATGAATGCCTCCTGATACTTGGAAAATGATTAAGCACCTGGAAGAAGGATGTCTGCGATGGGTCAAGTCCGGTATTCCCTGGAGGAACAACAACATCGTCTGGAGCAATTAAACCTACACGAGCAGGGGCACCAACCTGATTCACACAAACTAGTAAAATTAGCAAATATGGGAACATTACCAAAGAAAACCACAGAAAACATAAATTCCCTGTGGCTCATATCAAAAGCTTGAACATAATTATTTCGACTTCAAAAAAAAAAGTTATCGAGCATCGGCCTTGGGGGGAGGGGGGGGGGGAAGGGTTTGGATAGATAAGTCTCCTGGGAGCTGTCAAGAGTTGCCGACTTTTGACGGTAATCCCGGGGTTTAGGTTCATTTGTCGAAATTCTTACTTTCGTAAGAAAAATGTCAAAAAAAAAAAAAAAGAAAATTCATAGTTATTTCGACCTTGCTTGATTTTTTGATCTCTGCAAGTGTAAATCATAGTTATATTATCATTAGATTGTATTACTTGATCATCTTAATTACTTAAACCAGAGATAAAAGATCCTACATAAAGGTTTATGTGATATTCTCTGTAGGTTCTTGATTTATCGCTGTAGGTGCAAAATCTCCTGTTTCAATAAGTAAACAAATAGCATATAGAAAAGTCGTATGTTTTCTTTAGCATTATAGTTGCTTTATAGCCCGTCAAGAAAGTTGTTACAGAAAAAAAAAAAAGAAAAAAAGAAACTCACACACACGCACACACATGCATATATATATATATTTATTTATTTATTTATCTTGTATTCTTAAAACAGTAAGTGTCTATACAAGCTGAGCAAACATTTCATGTTTCCATGCACATGCATTCAATCATCAATAATAATAAAAACAATCAATGCCAAAAAAAAAAAAAAAGGAAGAATTTTGTCCACACAGTTCAAAAGCTACAATTACCTTGTATTTTGAAACCTCCTCGCTTATTTCCTTCAAATCACCCTTCGTGAAGATCAATCCCACGTTTCCCTGAACGAAAAAAAAAAAAACAAAATTCAATTCCTATCAGATTAAACAAAAAATAAACACGGGAAAAAAAATTCTCATTTGAAAATTATGCATGAAAACAATTCTTTCAATAAATCACCAAAAAAAAAAAAAAAAAACCCATTCAAGATGTCCTACAAATAAAGCATTTGACTACACCATACTTATATAACTTTAAAATAAAATTTAAAAAAGCAGGCTTAGAAAATTCAGATGCAGATTCCTAAGGAGTATACTTACAACAAGAAGGGGTATGAGACTAAGGAAATTTTTGTTGCCAGTATTTTCTGCATGAACCCTTATGGACCTCTTCATCATGGTATTCTTCCCCATGAGAATAACCGACTCTGCACGTAAGCCTCTGCGGATATTCTGCAGCTGATTTGATCCAACATTGTCTGCTCCGACGATGAGTATCTGACTGTATTCATCCAACAATTTGCACAGTTTTTGATCGTAAGCGATCTTCTTCTCGGCCTTACTATGTTTCACCACCATCTTTTGATAGTAAAAACCCGAAAGAAAAAAAAACACACAATCAGATTTGTTTTTCTTGTTCTGGGGTTTGATCTAAAGTGGATACGAGGAAAAATGACAAGAAGACGATTGAAGAAATGATTTTAGAGAGGTAAAGAAAAGCCCAAGTGTCGATAAGCCGAGAGCTTGGCGGTTTCGAGACGTGGAAAAATGGAGCACAACTGTACAAGTGAAGTGAAGAAGTGAACTTGAAGACGCAACGAAAACTCAGAATACTAAGTACCGAAGGTGTAAAGTATTGTTGGGACACGTTTCGAATTTGTACTAGTTAGCAGTTAGTGTATTGGAGCCGACGGAACTCAAATTTTTATGTTAAAAAGGAAGAAAAAGAGTCGATATTTATGTTTGGGTTCAAAATGTTAATGCCTCCAAGTTAAGTAATTGTCACGGAACTCTTGGAGTTGGCTTGGTGTTCAGGAAGATCTTTGAAATTTTTCCCAGGATTAGCGTTCAAGATCATCACGGAATTATTGGAATTGACCTAGTGATCGAGGAGAACCTTTAAAATTTTCTCTAAGATTAGGATTCGAATATTATACTCCCTCCCTTTTTTTTATAACTGACGTTTAAGGTTTTGCACACCAATTAAGAAAAGTTTTTCATTGCTTAAATCTATAAACTACTTTCCTTTTGTACCCTCATTAATTGCACACCAATCAAGAAAGAATATGGAGGGGCAGATAATTACTAGGGTTGTTACAAAGAGAGAAACAATAATTACTAGGAGTAGTAATTAAGAACCCTGTATTGGAAAAGAGAGATAAAAGGGTAAAATTATGAAAAAATAATTAATACTGTATGGGAATAATAAAACGACAGATAAAAGTATATTAGAACAAATTTCTTAAACGTCAATTATAAAAAAAGGGAGGGAGTACATCGCAATTGAGGGATGGGAGGTTAAAAAAAATGATTGTTATGGGTTTAGTAAAAACCATCCTTTTATATGACTTTTTCAGATTATGTAAATGAAAAAAAATTCTATATTAAATGACATATAACTAGCGACAGAAATCAGTTAAAAGATGGCATATTTGCTTGATTTCAGCTTAATAATATCATAATTTTTGTAAGTGGGCTCATAAAAGAATACCTTGGGATCCGATGGTATTAAAAGTGAAAACTTGAAACGAAGTTTTGAAAAAGTACTTTTCCATGATTCGATGCGAAGAGCATAAGCTTTGCCGGCACTGAACATGTTATGTATGTTGAATTACCGATGTACCATATCTTCATTTCTGCATTTTCCCATCAAGTATAGAGGATACAAGCGCTTCGATGTCAAATGTACAAGTAACAAATATTAATTTTTTTTTCAATTTTTTTTCAATAGAAGAGTGATGCAATTTAAGAAGTGGGAAGAGGGAAGGGAAATTTGAATCAAAGATCTTTATGGCCTGATATGTCAACTTTAGTTACTAGACTATGACCTAATCTACGTATTAGATGAACATGAGACAATATACATGAAGACGTGTTGTTTGACAGATTATAAAAGTTAACAATGATTGTGGTACGTTACTTGAAAAATAAAAACAAAAGAGTTATGACTTGTGAGGGGGACGAACAGAGAGAGAAATGAAGGCAGTCACAAGCAGCAAGTCGCTGAGTTTTATGCAGTGGCCTCTTAACATATCTATATTTATATAAATTTGAGAAGAGATTTTTAATATAGTTAAGTCAAAATGCTTCCAACTCTTCATTCTTTTTTTTTTTTGTAGAATTTTGATTATTTTTAAGTTGTTATGTATTCTTTCGTGCCTTTTGAATTCAAAAAGTAAGAAATGACTCCACTTATATAGAAATTTGGTTTGAAATCTATTAATGTGAGGGTGAATAGAAAGGAGACATCACCAAACCTACTAAAAGTAAACAATAACATTTTACCTTCCAACTTAGTAATTCTAACTAAAAGGGCAAATTATATAGAAAATAAAAAGAAACAATATTCATTGGTCGTGGATTTAAAAAATCAAGAATGGTATCATTCATGAAAACTAAATTATGAAATCACTAACTAAAAAACAAAATACTACTAGCCTTTAGATATGAAAATTTTTATTTTTGACGAAAAATAATAATGAAAACAACAACAATTCTACCAAAACTAAAAATAAAAATAATATAATTTAAGGGAAAAATATACACCATCCATAAAATGTATCTATTTAATTTGTAGGTATCTGATCCAAATTTGATAGGGGAAGAGGGAGAGACAGATGGTTGAAAGTGGATACGGGGCAGGGACGGTCAGAAGGACCGTCCCTGAGCGGTCCTCTCACAAAAAAAAAATGAGAGGACTGCAATAGGCCACGTATAATGGGAGCAACAGCAAAGGAAAACGACGTTGTTTTAGTGAGTGAATAGGAAAAAAAATAAAAAAACATCTGAGGGGCTAACGGGCTCCGTTAAAATACCTCAACTGTTCCGTTCCAAAAATTCCCGCTCAAATTAATGAGGCACGACTCTTCATCTGAAATGTTCAAATGAAATAGAATTTTGGTCTCCCTCCAAAAACATATCTTGTGAACATTCATTCACAATTCCAGAGTATCAGCAAAATAATATCCCTACCCCAAATTGGGAAGTTTCAGATGAGAGGTTTTTGGAGAAAGTGTATAGTGTTGCAGAAGTAACTGTTGCGGGACAAAAATTTTCATGAAGGCTGCAACAAGACGGAAGTTGGTGAGATCTAAAGCAGAGATAGACTCAATCGAATTGGACTAAACCCCAAAGGTAAGAATATTGCAAACTCATTGCACTATTTGGCTTGTTTTACGACAGAAGGGGGATGAATTTACTTGCATGATTTTGTTTGTACAACTCGTTTTAAGACAATGTGACATGAATAATGAAATTGAAATTCTGGCGAAAACTCCTAAAGAATGTGGGTAGCATAAATTAGATACATTGAGAGCCAACTTAAAGAATGTATGCACAGGGAACTTATGCATGCCAAGTGTTTGTAAATTTGACTCAATTGATGAATTAAAGTTCTCACCTTTTAAAATCTGGTTGCATAGTATACATATATCTTGGCTAAAAGAGGTTGAGTGGGGTGGCTTGCGTAGCAAAAACTATCAGGGTAGTTGATAAGTACATTTGTACACGTTGTAACACTAGAATAACATTTGTAATACTAGAATAACACGTTGTAACACTAGAATAACACTAGAGTAACACTAGAAAACTATCACGGTGTAATATCATTTGTACACGTTGTAACACTAGAATAACAGCGAGTAATTATACTACCTTTAACAGCAGTAACCGTTCCTGCCCCTTCTCCACTAATTACATAGTCCATGATACTACATTGGATCAGTCTAGTAACATGATACGTAAGCCTTATATTGCAATCCAATTCTGAACAAAAACACCATCTACAACTAGTTGTTTAGATGGTGAGAATTGCAATGCACAAAACTATACACAAGTAGTTCTAAGATTAGTCAAACAGCACCATAAGTGGCAGGAAATATAAATCAGATGCACATTGCACCACTTATCAAAAAATTGTCCACAAAAGCTAACATTGCTTCAGTATTGCTGGGAGCTAAGAAGACTAGTACCTAAACTACTTCAGATACCACAAGCAAGGATTGCGGGGAACCTTTAGCACTCTCAAAACATCATAGAGAAACTGCTGGTTATAGTGTTAGAGGCCACTATTGCAGCAGTATTAATGCTAACAGAAGTTTCGGCTTGAGATCCACCATTTAGAGTAGCTTGAGTATTTGGTATAAAGGGAATTATACCTTGCTTGTTTACAGCAGCATTGGTTTTCATTGAAGACCTTCCTCTTTGCATCAGAAAAGAACAAATTTAAACTTTTTTGCTGCAAAACTTTAAATTACTCCAGTAGTGCACTAGTTCTGAATTTTGCAGCAGCAATGTATGACATTATAATGCTTACCCTCTTAGTAGAAGTGCTTGTGCTAGCTTGCAAATTAACTTGCACATTGACAGCTGCATCTTGTTGGCGAAAACTTGGATTACTCCCCTGACTTGAAACAACCACTGGCACATTTCCTTGTACCTGATCCTAGATCACAGAAGACATGATAAACAAGTTAATAATATGTGCAACGTATATACTTTGGTACATGATCAGATGATCAGATTGAACTTAGTTACCCAAAGCACAGCCCCTGCCAATCCCGTGTTAGCTATACCTCTACCAGGCTTTCCTCTCCTTAGAGCACCCTGCAATGTAACAACTTCAAATTTGAGCATATAATTATCTAGCTCCCACAAGTTAGCTAATATTTTGTGATTATCAGGACAAATTTGGTCCCTTTTACATGTATACATAGTCAAGTAACTAACACCTAAGGTGATGTATATTTTTGTAAACTGATTGTACCTCATAAATCACCCTGTGTAAAGTACTCACAGATAAGCAAGAACTACTCATACAAGTAAAATTACATATCTACTATAGGGAGATGCACAAATTGATCAAAGGGCTAAATAACCATTCGAAATTTATGCGTATACATGCACTACCTTTTATAGATATACACAGTCAAGTAACTAACATCTAACATAATGTACATTTTTGTAAACTGATCGTACATCATACATCACCCTTGTAAAGTACTCATAAATAAGCAAGGACTACTCATACAAGCAAAATTACACATCTACTATAGGGAGATGCATAAATATAGTAGATGCATAAATTGATCAAAGGGCTAAATAACAATTCCAAATTATGCGTACCATTACACTACCTTTTATAGATATACATAATCAAGTAACTAAGATCTAACATAGTGTACATATTTGTAAACTGATTGTACCTCATAAATCACCCCGTGTAAGGTGTTTATAGGCAAATTGTGCGCCAAAACAATGGCATTTTTGTTATTTTCTGGTTTCCAATAATTTTTCTTATTCATTATTTTTTTCCAGCATTTCCCCGCTTAAAACTTTGCCTGGTGTTGGTGGTTTTTGGGTAATTTCTCACCTTTTGATTAGGACAACCTGTCACATCCTATTGCCAGGGGTGCTAAGTGTGATTTCAAAAATATGGGGGGTACTAGATGTGATTAGAAGAAACCTCAGGGGAGGTTTCTGATATTAACCCAATGAATTTACTATA